ACATTTAAAAACACTCATTTAAAAGCAAAGATAAAAAGCAAAGATAATACAAGTTACAGTGCAGTTTAAAATATGTATATATCAATTAAAAGCAGCGGCAAAAAGATAAGTCTTCAGCCTGGATTTAAAAGTAATAAGAGTTGCAGCGGACCTGCAGGTTTCTGGGAGTTTGTTCCAGATATTTGGAGCATAATAACTGAACGCTGCTTCTCCATGTTTAGTTCTGACTCTGGGGACAGAAAGCTGACCAGTCCCTGAAGACCTGAGAGTTCTGGATGGTTCATAATTTAGCAGTAGATCAGAAATGTATTTTGGGCCTAAACCATTCAGTGCTTTATAAACCAGCAACAATATTTTGAAATCTATTCTTTGACACACAGGAAGCCAGTGTAAAGACTTCAGAACAGGAGTGATGTGATCCACTTTCTTAGTGTCAGTGAGGACTCGAGCAGCGGCGTTCTGAATCAGCTGCCGCTTTCTAATAGATTTTTTAGTGAGACCTGCAAAGACACCATTACAGTAGTCGAGTCTACTGAAGATAAAAGCATGGACACGTTTTCCAAATCCTGCTGTGACATTAGTCTTTTAATCCTAGATATGTTCTTTAGGTGATAGTAGGCTGATTTAGTAATTGTTTTAATGTGACTGTTGAAACTCCAGTCAGAGTCCATGACTACACCTAGATTTCTGGCTTTATCTGTTGTTTTGAACATTGCAGACTGAAGCTCAGCGCTAACTTTTATACGTTCTGCCTTGGCTCCAAAAACCATTACCTCAGTTAATTATCTTTGTTTAATTGGAGAAAGTCCTGACACATCCAGTCATTGATTTGTTCAATGCACTTACTCTTCCTGCATTGCAACAGGCTCATTCAGCTGTGTGTACATTTGCATCCACTACTACACTGTCCCACCATAACTTTATTAGATACACAGTACCCTATCAAATCTTGATAGAGTCAGAAAATGCAAATGTAAATGTCAGAGTATTCATTTCATTGCTGTGACACACACACACACACACACACAGAATGAGACAGGGGACATTGTGCTCTCCACACCATTAAGGATGCTGAATAGTGAAGTCCTTGTTCCATTCCAATTTTCTGAGCTTTGAAGGAGTCAGTGGTTGGATGTGGGCTGCCTCACAGAGCGTTTCCTCTGTTCCACTGAGCACACAGTAGCTTAGGGATCAGCCTGTGTCCCCGACAGGAATGTGTGCCACTGAGTGTTGGCCTGTCCACTGAACAGATCTGCGAGCCTCAGATCAGTGGCATTGGCCGGCCTACGGGTTGCTCTTCATGGCTGTGTCGCTGAGCGGCTGGCTCTCCGCTGTGCAGACGGCAGCCCTCCAGATGGATACTGGGACAGCGGAGGCCACAGGGCTGAAAATCCCATCAAGCAGCAGTTCCAGGCCCTTGCACTGAGAAGATGAAGCACACCAGCCCGCCAGGGGACACGGGCCAAACCCTTCTGCACCTCCGTCACCCCCCAACCCCAATCCCTTCATGCTCCTCTTTCCTTCCTCCTTTTATTCCTCCTGTCCTCTTTTTTCTTTTCTTTTACAGGAGAAGACTGCAAGCTCAACCAGCCAGAATATGGAGTGTGGCCCTCAGGGTCTGTGGCCCTCGCTTGTTAAATAAAGGAGCTGACTGGCTGATTGATAGACCCTCAGCAGTCCCTGCACCTCACATGTTTTCCGGTTCACTGCCTTATATACGAATCCTTTGTTGGCCAGGCTTGCGTTAGCGTTTGTTAAATGCAGTGTTTGATGGATGGCACCAATTTTCCTCCAAAACCCAGATGAGCCACCTAAGCACCTTTCCCCCTCCCCTGGTTTCTCCCCAGGTAAACCCCATGAGCATGAGGGGACAAGAGTGTTCTAAAACGGTATCAATCAAACAACCTTGTGCACGGCCGCAGCAGCAACGCAATATTTCAATTATGCATCTGTTGGCTGACATTTCGTTCAACCTTCTACCCCCACCGAGGCACGGAGGAAGTGCCCTGCCTGTTGTCTTCACCTCCTTAATTTAACTGTTTAGGCATGTCTGTCGCCCTTTTTCCTTAACTCTGTAGATGTTTACAATGCATCGACTCAGAATGCTATTGTCATCGTGAGCAGCAAGGAAATTACAGTTAAGTCTAGAGCTACAGTAAACAATGGCTTCAACTAATTTCTTGCTATAAAATAATTTGCTAATTACTTTTTTGATTAAGAGATTTTTCCTTTTGTATATAAAATGTCCTAAAGCTCACAGTAAAGTCATCAAAGTGCTTGTTTTGCCTGGCCAAATGTCCAACACCTACATTTTAGAAAAGGAAAAGAAGAGTCACACATTTATTTGATTGATGATGAGATACTTTAGCACTTCTGTTTGATAAATACATCAATATGTTCTGCCTATCGACTTATTGTTTCAGCTCTAGCTGAGACTTAATAAAAACACAAAAGATGATAGATATATAAACGTGTGAAAGAAAGCCAAAGAAAATACATCTAATATGAACAGTGTAACAGTAAAGATAATAATATCAAGTCTCAATAATGTAAGTGGGCTAACACACTATACTTTACCATCAAATCCAGTTATAAAGTTAACAATGTTGCCACCAGCCAACACTGACTATCTCTGTCCCTGTAATGCCAGAGGCATGCTCTGAAATCCACAAAGGCTGCCGAGGAGTGTAAGCCTGATGCAGTGCAGCGAACCGACAGGTGAAAAAGATAAACAGATGCGAGACAAGTCTCTGGGGCGTTGGGTTCATTTGTTACCTACCGAGGACAGACATATTCCTGTCAGACAAGCCGTGGCAGCACCAGATGCGAGGTCATTCCAGTTACGGAGTGAAAATCTTGGGTTAAGGACAAAGATTCTCACTTCACACAAGAGACGGCCGTGGGGTTTTATTTCCCCTGTGGTCTTCTACAATAAACGCTCTTTCAACACTTTGCTCCAAGATGCTGGAGAGCTTTTTTAATAAAAACTGAAGCGTATTCATCATTGTTTGTCTCCTGTTCATTTTGCTGTATAATTGTGATCTAACAGCAATTTTGATGATGGATTCAGTAGTTTTAACGTTCATCTACAATTATTTTACAGATGTTTAATTTGTTGTTTGCAATATATATTATTCAGTAATTAGCCAATGTGTGGCTCTTGTTAATTCAAGTATAGCTGAATTTAGCTGTACAAATTGCAACATAAATTGAGGTAGTGTACAATCTTTTGCACAATAAGCTACAATAATGAGACAAAATAATTCATTTTGACACTAATTATTGATCCTGGTCGTTTATAATTCTATTATTAGTATTGTAAGATTTTCCAAACAACTTAAGACATGATTTCTGATTAGAAAAGTTTTTAATTGCTAAAGATACATCTATGCTGGCTGTTTTTATGGTTGTTGTTAAGGGGACACTTTCTCTGTGTAATATATATGCTTATGGGGAGGACAGACAGCAGACAGGTTCATGGAAGGAGGATATTGGAAGGTACTTGAGACACACTGGCTCCTAACCAGAACAACTGGCGTCTCTCCTCTGCAGATGGACACACAGGTGGGCTCACAGGTGGGGAAGGAAGAGGGGAAGTACTGTGCCAGTTTTGTGTCCTGCTTGGTGTGTGTGTGTGTGTGTGTGTGTGTGTGTGTGTGTGTGTGTGTGTGTGTGTGTGTGTGTGTGTGTGTGTGTGTGTGTGTGTGTGTGTGTGTGTGTGTGTGTGTGTGTGTGTGTGTGTGTGTGTGTGTGTGTGTGTGTGTGTGTGTGTACGCGCATAACATCTGGACCATGGTCCACTGGCACGTCAGAGAGAGAATTTATCAATGAAGCTAGACTGCACCCTCCTGGACGTTTGCAGCACCACATGATCTTTCACAACTAACCTGTGATTTTTTTTAATATACTTTTTTTTATTGTTAACGCCCTGTATCATAGCTTTATGCTGTAACCTCCACTCGTACTGCTATCACAGAAAGCAATTCAACAAATGAATGAAATACAGAACAGTAAAGTATGTGCCTAAACACACTGGACTAAGCACAAATATAATGAATGCAGCCCACGTTGTTTTGGCATAAAATATTTCTCTCTCTTTCTTTTTTAAATGTTCTCTTTTGTAACCCTCCTTTTAGATACCTCCAAGCTCCCCTTAAAGCTCCTCCATAAATGACTTGTCCAGACTATCAAAAGACGGGCAGAACCAAACAATATGATTGCAGAAAGCAAACCAACAAATAATATTGATCCCTGCAACACACAGACAGCTAATCAATGAATGTATGTCCTCCCTGCGCAGGCTGCAAGCCGAGATCAATTCTGAAGAAAGATGAGGCATTGGCAAATAAAGTGAAGTAGTTCTGAAGCATACCCGCTGTTTTGAAATGGAATAAATTCCCCAAACATGAAACATCGACTAAAGCTGTATGAAATGGCCCTGCCAGGCTGTTTGAACAGAACAATCATGCTTACAGCTGTAATTCCAATAAATATTGTTGCTATTATCTCCCACTGAAGTTTATTTTCTTTTATTCTTGGTGTCTGGTCGTTTAATATCACTTGCTCTATGGCCTCACATCGTGAACCAGCAGATGATTTATTGATCTGAACACGGCCTCCAAATAACCTGCACAATTGTTTCATCACCTTGTCATTATCACCCTGTGATAAGCAGGGTGCCAAAAGTTGGACAAGTCCCTCAAGTGTGTCTCTTTCAATACTGAATTGATAGAAACATTAGTTATTTTGTATTCCAGACTCGTAAAAGTTTAAAGGTGATTTTTGGCTCAATGTTTGCACGGTCAGCTTAGTGACCTTAATTTCATGTCCATGTGTCTTTTCTTCTTGTTATATATATGTAGGTGTTTAATAAGTGAAAGTTGGGTATTGTCAATTTTACATTCGCTATCAGTCATTTAGTAGTGGTTGTCATGTAGCTTAATGTGATGTTCACTTTTAAAACAAATATTTTGTTTCGTGTAAATCAATCACAACAAAAATGCTTGCAAACAGGATTTCCTTTAATACATTCATACAAAATGACATAAAAAAAGCACTATTGCCATGAATGCAATGTTCAGTTACAATAACTCAAGGCAAAGACACACGCTAAGTCGAAAGAGCCAAAAGGCAGAAACATTCAGTCCGAGAAATACTGCCTCTCAGTCTCGTCGTAAAGCAGACCGTCTGAAACAGAAATAGCCTCAGAGGCTGGCCTGGCCCAGATGCTGAAACTGCTATAAATAGGGAGTGTTGTTATGATGAAACTATGTCAACAGAATCCACTGAGGTAAGCCATTAAGATAGCTTTCAACAAAAAAAAAATGCCAACTGAGATCATTGCACCATAATAATGTGGACGTTTCCTTTCATTACTTCCTAGTAACACTTTATTGCCGCTTCAAAGCTAATCAGAATCCACCCAAACTTTATTACCATAGGAATCATAGGGATTTTAATGTTAGAATTAAAGGGTCTGGGATTCAAAAGCCTTTATTTCTATGGCTGGACAATGTAACCAATACTATTCTTTATTGGTTTAACTTTGAAAGTATAGTCACTTGCTGCCTTACATCGAGTTTGATAAGACAATCAATATCCGTTGCATCTGTGCATTTGCAATATCACATGCATGATGTATTTGGAGCTTAAGCTACAAAAAATGTTTAAGACGTTTTAAGACATCATTTTTAGACATTTAGGCATTTGTGGTAAAGGTTTAACTTGACCCATTAAAATAACAATAAAATTACATAACAAATGTAACAACATAAAATATCCAATGTATAGCAAAACAACAAATCACATACATAATGTGGCAGTAATTGTTATCATGGCACTTAGTTAGAAAATATTCACATTAAGAAAAACACTGTGCCATTAACATTTGATAATAAAATGCTGTCAAATTCATGGCATCTAGACTTCCACACTGCGTACAAAGAAGGTATAAAGTAACCAGACCATTTTCACTTAGGTTATTGTGTTCAATGTATTATACGCTTATAGTATGACTATAGCTCCCTAGCTGTCAGCCAAGCACAATAAAGACAAAGACACAAACAGACACTTTAAAACTCACTGCAGCCAGAAAAAGCTGTTACCTGAGGAAGAGCATAAAATATTTAGTACCTAATAAAAGGCATCTTCTCCTGCGTTAAGAGTAGTTACATGACACTGAGTTCCACAAATGAGCGCACATGCAGTTTGTAATGATTAAACTTCAAGCATTCATCCTGATAAGTGAAGCATTAAACCTGACTTCCTGAAAAGTACCTCGGAGCATAAACGTAGAAGACGGTTTCAGGTAGCCTAATGACACCCATTCAATTGCCTCCCAAAATACAATCCGTGTGGCTTATTCAACTGTACGCCATACGGCATACAATGGCAACTGTGCCTTACTTAATCACAGTTTTGAGTATTCCCTTTTTAAGAAATGTTTCGTAAAGTGGCTGCCAGTGAGCAATTGATACACAAAAGTAAAAAAAAATTGAGTGTACTGCTTAGCCATCTCACATAAAACCACAAAGAAAATGCAAAAAAAAGAATTTAAAATTCATATGTTAAAATTAGATTAAAATTAAGATAAGGTTCTGAGCATGTTTGAACCTAACAATTTCACTTTAGTGATGTAATGAGTGGTTGTTTAAAAAGTCTTTATATATTGAGAAAAGCTTTTTTCGTAACAAGCATAAAAGCTGAATTTGAGAAGCTTGTCTTACCAGCAAATTCCAGCAAAGGCTAAATCAAGTATGTTCAGCTTGACATTCACTTCTTGCTACACCCAAACAAAGTAAGCAATTTCATCCAGGTCTACAGGATAGTCTGTGAGATGGAGGGGCTCCTTGATATCAAATCGCTCCCCCTTGTAGCTTTTCCAACGGCCGGCAGGGAGGTAGATGTCACGCTCTTGCTTTCCCGGCTCTAAAACCGGGGCTACCATGAGGTCATCCCCAATCAGGAACTGTGAGTCGATTTTATAGGCTGTTTCATCACCTGTGGCAATCCACCACAGGGGCCGTATGATTGGGTCCCCGGTGTCCAGCACCTCACTGGCCAGCTCCAGGACCCGGGGTGCCACAATACTCTCATGAAGGGCTGTGTATTTTCGTGCAATTTCAACCACCTCGTTGTCGTATTCCCATGGCGGAATAGAAAACTGCATGGAGGGCATGAAGGCTATCAGCTCCAGCCAGCGGATATAGAGTTCTCGATCGGGTAAGACATGATTTCCCTCTGTGCGGTTCAAATAGGCATTCCCTCCGATCATGTCTGGCAGAATAAACTGATAGCCAAGAATGCTGATGGTAAGCACGGTGGGAATAATAGATTTGAGACCTAACTCGTAGCCCCAAACAGAGTCTCTGTCAATTGGTCTGAAGAAGCAGGATATGTTCTGGGACTGGTAGCCACTGCGCAGCTCAGCTCTATCATTGTAGGGAATAGCCATTTCCGTGTAACGTCTTGTGAAATAACTTGGGTCCTGAATGGGAGTTCTGGTACTGAATTTCCATGGTAAGAAGTTAGTCTCTCCTGCGTCAAATTTAAAGGATGACACTCCGTACCTGGAACGCAGTGAACGTAGCTGGGAGGAAAACCAATCACGGGCTTCTGGATTTGTGAAGTCCAAAATGCCGCCAATGCCATTCCACCAGCGCACCAAGGCAGGCAACTGGCCTGTAGGCTCACGGACAAACAGCCCCCTCTCTACGCAAGTATGAAAGTTTTCCGAGTCATAGTTAACAAAAGGGTGAATCCAGAGTGACGCCAGAAATCCATCTGATTTCAGCTTCTGGAACATGGCGGTGGCATTGGGGAACTTAGTGGGGTCAAACTCATACTCTCCGTAGCGCCTTGTGTAGCGATCATCTATTTCCAGTTGGCTACAGTTAAAGTTATACTTGCGTATGTTGGCAGCATACTCCAAAACTTTCTCTTGGTCAATATCAGTCTTATGTAGAGCCCAGGTTGACCATATAGGATGGCGAAACATGACTTTGGCAGGCACTTTGTTTGGTTTGTTGAAGTATCTGCGGACCATGTACTTGTGTATGGATGTCACATCCAAGCCCACGCACACTCTGTAGCTGAGTTCAGCACATGGCTCCTCTCCTGGGTTTGGCTTGAAGGGACTGTCATTGTATCGTGCCTGGAAGGACATGGTCTTCTCTGTGTCATTCCAGCCCAGGTGGAAGGGTACTGAATTATTTATCTTAATGGCTGTAGCATTGGATGAAAGCCAATAACTCTCTAAAATTCCTCCAAATTCATTGCGGTTTGCGTAGATGTCACTTGTAACAAAGGGTTTGGGAGCCTGTTGGCCTTTAATGGAAACAGGCCAGTGTTGTATTGCTGACACAGCACCACCATACCAGTGTGCAAACGTGTATGTCATGGCATGCTCAACAGGAATGTCAGGAACCAGTTCTTCCCAACGCACACGGTAGCATTGTACCGTGTCCTTGGGCCGCACCGTCTCGATGAAGAAGTTCAGCTTTCTATCAGTGGTTTGTCCGCAGCTCAGCATCTCCCCCTCTTTGGAGCATGAATCCAAATCCAGCGTACCTGACCTGCCAAGATTTAAATATATTTGGATTTACAAGCAATCTCACATTTCTTTTCAAAAACGACTTGATTACATATACAGAAATATTGTAATGAACCTGAAATATGCATCATTACAAAAGCTTAAAAATGTGAAGACCATTGTAAAATACCAACCTGAAATCCATTCTGAATACAATAGACCCTCCCTGGTTGCGGATAATGTAGCCATCTTTATTCAGATCCAGGAGCTGAGTCTTAAGCAGCTCAGCTTTGCGTATAGAGGCTATATAATAACACCACGCAGTCACTGCAGCAACTACCAGCACCAGGCCGATTACCCCGGCTCCGACTAAGGGTCGAGTGTCCTTGCTGTGTTTCTGCTTGGGGATAACATCTGTAATTGTGCCTCCTGCTCCTCCTGGTACAACTTGGTACATGACTTCTGCTGTTCAGTTGGCAAATCTGAGTGTTGCTTTTTAAGAGCTCATAGAAATATTTTCCAGGGAACCTTGTGTGCCGCACTCTGGCCCCCCCTTTGTGTCTGTTTGCCTGCCTGTCATGAGAGAGAGATAACAAGCATTGAAAAGTCAATGTCAAAGTCTTCATTCAATATTTGCTTTTCTCATTGAAACAGTATTTATAGAGAAAATGCATTGAGGATCAAATAACAAGGCATCCTGTACCTTTAGCCTTTGGACAGAACATTCACGTTATATATCTTACCAGCTGTGGTTAGTCGAGATTACTTTAAATCACTTAACTATCAGGTCATTTCAGGAAAATAGCCCCAGCCAGAAAAACACTAGCTGCCAGCCTTGTTCTCAGACTATTTTGTTTCCTTGTCAGTTCAAAAGCCTCTATTACATGTATGGCATTGTCTGACATGCTCTGCATTGCTGCACAAAGGGATTCCAAAGCACTTGGAGGTATTACGCTGTCAGAATGTAAACTTTTAAGATGTGTGATTTAACAAAACAAATCTACTGCCAATTACCCGTAAGAGGATAAAGTGGATGTTCCCAGCAGTAATTCTAACATACGAGTTCAATTGAAAAAAAGACTAATTTGTATGTAAGGAAGTAGAAGAGCAGAAAAGGGGATTTTGGCCTTAATGCTCTGCCAATGCCGGGAGGGAGAGGAAAGAATACTAAGCTTGGAGGGTGTGCTTCATCACGCCAGATCAACCAAAACTGCCAAAAAACAGTTGTTGTTGATGTTAGTTTCTATTTCATTTAGACCAGTCTGTCCCTCCCAGTAGGGATACAGCAAAAACGTTTACAGGGAATTAACTACCTGATGTTAGTTATTGTGGTTTTGGCTAATCAGAATAGATTAGATTAAGGTGCATTGCCGACAGAGGGGAGTTCAGTCCCCTCCAGAGTACTCCCTGTATGCTGACTTGTCCTAACTGCAATTGACCCTCCTGGTCTGCACTGGCAGCAAAGGTCGATAATAAAAAATGCTTGCTATTAATTAGCAATCTAATTGACTAATTCTGTGTTCAACCACCCTTAGTATAGATTTCCTCCAACAACAGGACTGATAACATGAGCCCATCATTAATTAACAGAGAACTAACTGTTGGTTCCCTGGAGATCCACTCTGGCTGCAGAAATTGACACGGTGGTTTACTGTATTCATATATTTATTTATATTGAAGAGGACATAACATAATCAGAATTTGTTTTGCATTTATCTAATCAACTTTAAATCAAAATACATGTTGTTATTAATCAATCTGTTGTCTGTTGATGTTTTTTCATTGAATTTAGTCGATTCAAGTGTAAAAACAGTGTGTAATATCCACTGAAGTTCCCCAAAACGCAAGGGGATATGTTCAAATCGCTTTTGATCAACTATAACCTAAAAATCACAACATTTTTTAATTAATTAAGAAAACCAATGAAACATTATTTTCTTAATTAATCAATTAACTTTCTTTTAAAGTGAAAATTTGAGAAGCTAGAACCAGAAAGTTTCGGCCATTTTCGCTTGAAAAGTTACTGAAAATGTTATAGTTTAAACAAAAATACTTTTTATAATCAATTCCTCGTTGCAGCTCTACAGAAAATATTCATATTTGTAACCAGAGGACGCTGGAGGCCGGAATGCTAACTTAAAATTATTTTTTAACAAAACAATGTAATTAAGTAATTCTATAATTATTGAAATGATCTACAGTGTGCATCAACCTTTTGAAAAAGGTTTTCAAAAGTGTACGTCCCTATAACTGATTAATCTTAACACTCTTTAACTACACACAAAGACAACCCACCCTGTTTTCCATGCCTATAGTGGCTTGTTTTTCTCATTGAAACAGTGTCAACAGGCAGACTCGGAGCTTTCTTTGTTTATGCTGTGATAAGGAGGAGGGGGTGTCAAAGCTGCCACTTCAGCCGATCCACTATCTTTTCTGACATGGAAAAAATAGACACAGAAGTGCTGATACATTCGGAACGGAAGTGTGAGAAGCCTCACTATACCGTAAGAAGCACGCGCGTGTTTGTGTGTGCGCGTGAGAGTAAGCGTGTGTGTTTACAGTTATACTCAGCTAACTTAGATAAGCACACGGCAGAATTTTACAGAGCTACAGTAAAGTCTCACTGTGAATTAGTTTAACTTTTTACTTAAATTATGCATATTTAGTACAAATATAAATAAAAATGTAGGCTATAATACATGCATTATTATGTTATAGCCGTACTGAAAATAAATGTTCCTCGCTAATGTACCCACAGCGTCTACATACAGAATAGTCCGATTTATAGAAAGTCGTTGTTTTGCGCAGTAGTGCAGGAAAGTTAACGGAGGGAAAACAACCCGTAATCCGTGAGAGAAAAGTAGCATAGTATTATCGTTTACCCTCATGCTAAACTTTTAACTGTTCATTATAAATAGTTTGTTGCCTACCGATCTGCAGCTGCTCCCTCTGCACCTCCGAGCACAACGTGTTTGCTTCAGTTCACAGAAAAAGACCAAGAGGCATCAAGGCATGTTGATTGATGCGTATCCGCCTTGAATACGCCCACCGCAGCATGGGAAATGTAGTCCAGTAGGTGGGAGCATTACTGTTTATTTTCTCATTATGTATCAATTACACTGTAGTACATAATTCAAACCTGTCACACTAGTTAAATTACAGCGTTTTTTGCATAGCAAGTGAGCCTAAAACATTTTGTTATGGGGACTTGATTTATATGTTATGTCATATAATGATGACCATATAGAACTCAAGTCATTATATGACCATACATAGAACTCAAGTCTGCTATAGATAAATAACATATGATAATCCCATAAAAAGTCTATAAAGTTTCCTTGTTTGCAGAATTTTTTTAATGTTTTAACCCCCCAAACACGCATTAAAGAATTCCTTTATCAAAAGATTATATCTGTAATAGTAGGATACACTTCTAATGCCACAGATTGAAACACATTAGAGCCACATTGCCTCACTCTGGGAAGATCTTTGCTGCTTGATTTAGTACTGAGTTGTAAAAGTGGCCACGCTGTGAAGGGATATAATAGTTTTAAGAGTGCCGCCTACAGTTACATTATTCATTCTTACACCTTGTCTCGCTGGGTTAATTAGTGAAGAATTAAACAATAGTGAAGTTAACAATCTCCATAAAGGACCTCAGCAGGTCCCCAGTCGCCGCTTTGGTAAACAGTGCTAATGGTCCTAACGAAGACACTCAGACACAAACTCTGGGTGTATGATGTAGTGTCCGGCCTGGTAGGGCTTCACCACGTGGAAGCAGCTGTAGCACCCACTGTAGAGAGACCATCAGAGCAGAAATTAGACCACAATGGTTCTTACTTTTGGCACACTTTGACAGATTCTTTCAATATTCACCTATTATTCTGGCTGCTAGACCTTCGTAGAGAGTGGTATTGAGGGTTGGTGGTTTGGGGTCTTGTTCGGAGCTGGGCCCCTGCATGTTGCCTGTCCATAACAATGTCATTTTGTCAGGATGAATCATTAATATTGCTCATTAACAAACAGTATCTAGGGTTTTCAGGGTCTAAAGGTCAGGTCAAGAGGTCTCTTACCTGAGTTGCGGTGCTGATAGTGGATAGACAGCCCTATGAAAGTCAATTTGAATGCAAAGAAAATCTATTAGAATCAAGTTTGGTTAGAGGCTTCTTTAGACTGTGTATAAATCCAATGTAGTTCTACCTTGCTGTTGGCTTCCTCCAAGCTGCATGAAGCTTAAACTCAGTGCCAGAAGGAGGCTCAGTCAGTTGTAGTTTCTGCAGTGCGTCAGCAGAGGGCAGAGCTTGTGCTGGGGATGGGTTGACAGGAGGCATGAGGTTTGGTTTGCCTGTTATCAGGTAGTTGTCTGGACAAGTCACAACTGGACTGTGGAAAGATAAATGTCTGACAGGGGGGAAGAGGGGACGGCCAATGTCCGCAGGGGGCGAGGGGTGTGGTAATGTGCGGCGTGACCTGTAGTTGGACTGAAGGCTCTTGGGAAACAGAAAGTCCTGTAAAGACAAGGGATAAAAGGTATGGGTAGAAATAGAAAATAAGAAGATAAGGTGATTTAAAAACAATATGTAACTGTCGTTCTTACAATTAGTTCTATATATCTTTTTTACATGTACAGCAACTCATATTGATATGATTTTACTATAATAATAATAATAATAATAATAATAATAATTTAAAAAGCAGCTTTAAAATCCGTCTTTACAAAGTGCTTGGATAAAAGCAAAGAAAGAAAAAATATGTTATACATTAATACAATAGTTTTTAAAGGAATAGAAATATGATAAACGGAATAGAAACGCAATAAAAGGAATGTTAAGACCACATAAAAAGAACTGTATTTATTCAGTTATGTATTCTTTTTGAATTTACCAAGAGATTTCAAGATTCGTTGAAGATTATGTCTTTCTCTCAGTTCTCAGAACGTAAAGAACATTCATGCTTTAAATTAGTTATAATAAATTAAAATGTGTTGAGTAGGTTTTAGGCTTTTTGTTTCCTTTACAGAAGGATGACTATACTCTCTATCTCTCCTGATCTCTGTTTACTCCATGTCGGGGGTGAATAAATAGGCATTGAGGAAGTTCTGAATAATAGATGTGATACAGCTTTCATCCAGCAAAGGGAAATGTAAACAACCAGCCACCAATTAGAGTAAGGCACAATAGTGTGGCTTAATGAAGATACTGCCAACAATAAGTGACCCAATTAGCCTTGTTTGACATCGAATGCATAAAATGTTAAATTATTTCAGTAGCTAAATACATTGATTATAGGAAAACCACTTCCATTTTCTCCAGAAACTGTCCTTGCACAATCATAAATAAATATCCCTTTAAACCCATGCAGTCCATGCTGTTCCTCTTACCGGCCGGGGCTGGGGGTTGTTCCTGCGGTGGGCAGAGGTGGGTCGAAGCTGTTCTCGTTTTGCTGTGCCAGGAGAGGCAAACTGCTCTTTGTACATAGTTAAATAAGGCTGAGGAGCCATCTTCGCTTATCGTCTTTTCACCTGCTCCGCTCCAGTCTGTTTAAAAGTTATGTGCATCCTTCTCCTCCCCTGTCACCTGGTAGCTCCTCCCCTCATTCGTGTGCATCTGTTATTCTTTTACCTGCACTTTTGGTATGCAAATGTCCTGACGTGTGTGTTTTCTCCACTGAAAACTGTTGCTGGGTTCTGCACGCCACCTACTTTATGTGTATATATTACTCTTCCTGTGTTTAATGGATCAGAACACAGCACGTTTGCATGCATCAGTAGCTGTAAACCCTGCTTGGATCACCGAACAACTACAGTAGATGGTAAAATCTTTGTTATACATGCAGCTATTGTGATGAATCTAGGCTATATGTTGTAAGAGACGGGTGAAGAGCATTCTTGGTGAACCAGAACATCTCTTTGTGCCACCTGAGCACTCGGACACTAATCCCCTTAAGCACCACAGGCCCCCTGCAGAGACACACATACCTGGGGTCACTCTCCATGACTCCCTCCCAGGGGCCCTCACAAAGTAACCAGCATTGATCTCAAACATAAGGCTTCCAGCTCTTTTGCTGGCTCAAAGTGAAAGCAACATAAGTCTTATCTGAGCTGCAGAACTGGATGGGATTTCTAAGAATCTCCCACCACCCAGGGTCACCTCTATCCACTGTCAGCATGCCACATGAGCATCAATAATTCACCAAAGCGCTGCAGGGTGCCATTGTGTCTCCACTGCTTTCACTGAGTTATCTGTGACAGGAACTGGCTGTTCATCTTGCTGCAGTGGTCAGGTCTGGTTTGACAGCCACGTTAAGCCCAGTCAAATCCATGTCAACAGATGCAGAGAGGACATGGGGAATCATAGTAATGATGTGGCAGGAACGACCTTCACTGGGCCTCTAAATCAAATCCAATCACTAGTTTGTGTTCCCTTCTGTAGTATACTTTGACGCAAGGCAAATCCCAAACTCTTCCTTTTATTCATACTCTCTACATCTCTTCCAAACAACAACAGTACAGTGTATTTGATCGAAAAATTGATAAACATTTCAAAGCAAATGCATGCTTCTTTAAGTTATGCATGATGATCAGCCTCAGAAGATTCTTGTTGCATGGCTTTCATGTTCTGCACAGCCAGTGAAGCAGAAGTCCAACATGTGCGATGCAGACTTCAAAGCCCTTGTCATAGACTCACAGTGTTATTTACTCGTGCTTGTATTTCGCTGCCGCTTTGAGCTTTATGTAGAGATAATCAAAATTCTGTAAGAGAGAACAGACAAATGCTGTGAGAGAACAAACCGGAAGTGTCAAGTGTTCAAAGCACAAGAAGAAATGCAGGGTGCTATGCAAAACAGTATGAATGGACAATGTAAAAAGGGTACATTTACGGACCTGTATGGTGTAGTAAACGATTGCCAAATAAGCCGCAATGCAGCCGCCGAGGAATAGATCAAAGGCTGCAGGCTTCACTCTGGAAGAAAAAGCATTTGAGTGTCCAAACATATTGAAATAAAAGTAAGCACAAGATGTATTTGAACACAGAAATATTTACCTGTACATCACAATTTGTTGGTTCATTTGATCAAAAAAGGTAATGTCAGGGTCCCTGTTTGAAGAAAAATTGTTGATCATTAGTGATATTGTTGGATTTCCTCCTGCATTGATCAGCATGTGTTTGCTTCTTCTTCTACAGCGTACTTCTTGTCCTGTCGGAAGGTGTGTCTGTGAACCTGCTGCAGGTAACGCTTGAACTCGTGCTCCAGAGAGTTAACCAGCAGGATGTGAGCCGGCTCCTTATCCAGCAGCTGGGTGGCCCGAGGGACCGACGTCAGAGAGGACATCAGACTCAACATGCGACTGTCGTGAAAGTCCTACAGCCACAATTTAGACGTTTATTCACCAAAAGAAGAAAGTAGGAAAGGTCTCATGTTCCATTGCACAAAATAAAAGTTGATGTATGGTCAAGGTGTCTCAATATTGACCCATGAGAAACCAAATTCTTTACATTTTACACTCCAATATATATTTAAATAGTGGGTTTAGTCAAATGCCTCCAATCATTGAATTAACTGAATTAACAAGCTGCAGTTAATACTAGGACCCAGGCCCTTGATATACACTGCAATTCCCATAAACTAACACCAGAGGTCAGCAATTGTCAAAGATGCATTATATAAATGATTATATTTACCAAAATAACCAGAAACTTACCAATTGGCCCTTGAACACCTGCATATCTTTTGGTGAACCCTTGTGAAAATAAAGGGAGATCAAAAAGATTAATTACAATGAAATGCAGATGAAAAGTGTCAATTAGGATGCATGCGTTATGTTTGTATGCATTTAATCACCTTGTCAGAGAGATTGTACATATAACGTGCCAATGTCTCTGCTACAATGATGCCATTACGTTTCATTTTCCTGAAGTCCACTTGTGACCTGTGGGAAGACACAATACAACTGTTATGTGTTTCTTTGCATCATCTCTTCATATCCAGTGTCTAATAATCAGAATCAGAATTAAGAACCCACATGGTGTCTAGCATGGAGCCACGGAGCTCAGATTTGGGGTCTTCAAGACGAGACAGAGTGAAACTTGGTATCCTGCGCAGGCTGTAGCGCTCGTGTTCCCACGCTACTGAGGACTCCACAAGATTGATCTTCTTATGGACCAATCCCACCTTCACCCAGGGGAATCTGGAGGACACCACCTGCAGGAGAATTCACACATTTGAAGTCCAAGAAAACTGAGATAAACCAAGTCCATTTCTCTGGACCTAGCAGTAAAGTTTCTTTACCTCCTCCAGCTGTTCAAGGAAAGACTGTATGGGACTGTCTGGTTTAGGAGGGCGGGACACGTGCATGTACAGTTCATCACTGTTGGCCAGTGTATCCAAACACAGCACAAACGCCACATTATCATGGAGCAGACTGGACTCTGCAGAGAAAAAGTTTGGAGGAAATATGTAAATGGACTGCTTATGTTCAGATATAGTAGTCCAAATACTTCAAGAAAAACTCACCAGCGTGGTCCAGATTATCTTCAATCCATCTCTTTGTGCCAAGGAAATTGTATTTTCCTCCTCCAGTTAAGGAGAACATTAAATTGAATCTAAAAGACCAAAAATAAATCAGAAGCTTGTTGTACTTTTATACTTATACTGTAAGCATCACTGGGAAATTTGGACACATATACACACTAACTAGCTTATTTAACCTTATTTTAAAAGATCCTTTTGTTGGGGGGGACTGTAACTCACGGTGGTTTGGTGCCTGGGCTACTAAAAAGCTTCTGGAAGAGACGAACTAACTCCAGCAGGATGGTGACGCCACTGCCATTAGAGTCTGCTCCGTACGACAACCACTGTGGTAAAAACACAAACATATATATGAATGGAGAAAGAATTATACTGCAAATGTAAAAATAACCCTTGACCCCTTTTTCAAGACATATTTGCATACAATTATAAAATCCATACTTATTCCACACATTAGTGTCCACATGTATTTTAAAAACACAAGTAAAGTAGTAATAAAGTAAGTTAAAATACATATGTTTCAATGTTAATGCTTTACTGTACATGTTGCTGGGTAGCTAACGTTTTAGCTTAAACCATTATAATACATTATACATTATTTTCTAGATTGTTTCTGTATTATAGATATTAATCTTCAAAGTAAATTAAGTTATCAAATACATTTGATGCAGTAGACAAAATACAAGTAATTAAGTTTATGTACTTACTGTAGTGCACTACAAGGGTATGTATTTTTGTCATTGCTAAACTCTGTTTTTTGCGTCGTCTAAAGGTATTCATAGATAAAATACAGAGTAAATACAAACTGTTTAGATTGCATCACATTACTGCAATTATTTCCTGTATTTATTTTCTGTTTTATTTCCTAAAAGTTCCTCTTTTCATGCCCCTGGAGGGTTTTATATACATTTTCCTTGACAGTCCCGTGCAAAACAATATATTGGATTTGGATATTTTTAGTAGTTTGCATAGAAACAACCAAACAGTACTGAAAATTGGATTCATAATTTGTATGTAACTCACTGGTGCTAGCCCGTAGGAATCATAGTGGGCGGTGATTACGATTGTGGGTGCATCCTCCTCGGCTCCGGGAAGCACTCCCTGAAGAAAACATCAGCAGTTATACATGCAGAAATAACGCCTAATCACAAGCCAAACTAATCCAGTTTGAAAACTGAAGAATGTCAATCAAATGTTTTAAATCATCTGTCCTGGTCCCATACTCACCTCCAGTGTGGTGAAGGTGGTGTCAGTGCTGCTCTTTATAGCAGCAGTGTTGCTCAACGACATCTGAAAGGCTGTAGCTGTCACCATACTTCGAAGGACTGCCAAAAATGAAAAAGCATATAAACCTCAGTGTAATGTTTTTTCAGCATCTTCACAGTAAAAATAACCTCTTGCACCCCTCACCTCTGACAAATATAGACAAGGTCCTGGTGGCTGCAGCTTGCTTGACTTCCTCATACATGATAAGCAGTTTCTCATCCTCAGGCGCCACATATACGGGAATGAGGATCTCCTTCAGCAAGACCTCACTCTCACTCACCATGAAGGACTGCGAGGGGAAAAGAGGATTGTTGAAACTATTCTTTTGGATGCCCTGTGGTGTGGTGATCATTAACACTTGAGCAGGCTGTTTACCCTGGAGCACTAGGATGTGAGATATGACATTCAGAAACTGCTTGATGGATCAGAAAAGATGCTGTATTATGTGTACTTGTTGCCTTGCAGCATGTCCTGAAGCAACTTGTTACCTGTATTGAATCGTAGGGGACGGCAGAGATATTTGTGGGCAGCAGGATGAGGATGGCAGCAGCATTTTGCCTCTGGGCCTCGAGGTATTTCTCTGTGGTGAAGTCTATCACTTTCATGATGACGCAGCGGCGGGTCAGCACCGGCTCGTCTGCTGAGCGTGCCTCTGCCCCCAAGATGGCTCCACGGCAACCTGAACACACAAATAAAAGACGAGTGTGAAATGAACACAGGCCACTTAGATTTTAAGCTGTTCTTCAAAGCAGAAATACAAAAGGAAATAATACGTCTGTCACTAAGTTCTTTAAGTTGATACTCATCCTTTTTAGCCATGGATGTACACTTATTTGACTTTATTTTTTGTATTACTAATGTGTGCTTTTCTTCTCTATATTAAGTTAGCTTTTGCCTTTTTTTACCTATGTCACTTTTTACTGTAACACTGTACATTTCCCCACTGTGGCACTTATAAAGGATTTCTGATTCTGATGATTCTGGTTTTAGAATATTGTAATATTTTAATCTGAGCTTTATTTATTTATTATAAAAATGTAACTGCAAACAATATCAGCTTATGTGATACTATACATTGCTATAAATGAGACACTTTATTAGTTTGAATTGGCTTAATTTCAATTAGCAACATTTTTTAAATTAGTGCATCTGTAATAATTATTCACCAATAAATATTGACTTTACACCAATGATCTTATTTGACGTGGCGATTTAGTGTGATCCCATCTCAATCTTATTGAATCACCAATCACGATTGGTTAGCAAATGTAACAGTATTCATATCTCTTTCTTAAGTTTAAGCTGTTATCCCTTGTGTTATTCACATCAACAGCATAATCATATGTTGCTTTATGTTAAATCTAAAAAGTAACTTGTGACTGCAACTCTGAGACATATGCAATGGAGCACAAATTCGAATAGAGGCGACTAGAAGTAAAAAAGCAGCATAAAATGAAAGGTAAACTACCTCAAACTGTAAGTAAATGTACTTTCCAGCACTGGATGTGCAACTCTCTGAACTTACCATACTTCTGTTGTACTAAGTTGTACTGTTGCATCCTGTAGGCAGTGAACTCATGGGAGGAAACTGGATGGAAAGCAGAGCCATGCAGCGACTGGACGCAGAGCAGCAGCACGGCAGCTACACTCAGCTCTCTCGGCAACATGATGTCACGTCCTGCCTTCGTCCTCTTATAGCCTCAATCTACAGTATGAGGGAAGGGTGACGTTACAGGAAGCTTCATTCAATACATTACATTTCATTGAGCTGCTGTTTTTATACAAAGTAACTAACAAAAGGTGCAATCAACCATGAAGTAAGATATCAACTGAAAATAGCAAAAGAAAGTCCTGCAAGTACATTAGCTTTCAGTATGCCAAACCATTTTAAGTGCTACTGCATTGGCTTCAATTAACGACAAACCTTTCTGATAGATACAGAAGTGCAACTTTTTTTAGGTTTTTAGAATTGTTGGCCAATGTGTAGTCGAAACAGGTGGGTTTTCAGTCTGCAATGGAAGTTGTGTTGACTTTCTTCTGTCCTGATATCAATAGAGACCAGGCCATATATACAAGGCCAGTCTAGACACATTCAAATGTACATACGATTTCAATAGAGTCCAAATATTTTTTTATAGCAAGGATATTTGCTGTATTTGAAGTCTAAAGGTTGGCTATCCATATGGTCACGTAGAGTGTACCGTAGTCTCCATACTGTAACACTGACAGATATCTATGAAGTTCCACTATCTTTTTTGTGTGCAGGTAAATGTTCCTCACCAGTCTCCCAACGCTCCTCTCTCATGAACCTTCGTCCTACTCCTTGCTGCTCGGACATGAAACTAGCTCCTGGGATTCAAGGCGTCTCCTGTACTGTAGGTAAGCCACCATTCGCCATCTGCTTCTAAAGGATCAACTCAAGGCTAATCACAAATACCCAACCCCCCACCCCTTACACTCACTACTCCTCTATCTTTCTATACCCTCATTCACTTGAGTAGATAATCACACATCACCCGCAGAGACTCTGTGTGGGGGGCAAAAGGTTTCATACAGTAGCTATGTGTTGCATCTCCTGCAGGGACAACAGTTGGAGAGAGTTGCACTTGACTTACTGTCTATTGGTGACATGTGTAAAAGATTGCTTAAAAATAAAATGGCATAACAAGGAATTACAAAAACCAGACACCCTCCAACTGCAGATATCTAATATTTATTTTTTGATATGTTGCACTATACACAGAACTTTGACACTGTTAAAATCTAAATGGAACCAGTTCACAATCATCATTATAAGCACCTGACAAACAAACAAAAAATAAAAAGCTTCAGTCTGGATATGGATTATTTCCCATTCTTGAAAATAAATTAAAAAACGCACAACTGCAAATAAATAGCTTATGTTACAACACATTATTCTAGAGTCAAGAGATTAGTGAAGCTACACAACCCAGTGACACAATGTTGGCCTGCGACAGCCTGTGAGTGAATCAAATAGCATGATGTCAAAGAAAGAAGAAAAGAAACTCAGCACCATTTCCTCAATGTTGGTGTTAACTGTACAGTTATAGTAGCCATTTTAGTCACCTATTGTACTATTCGTGTATTTTTTCTACTTAATGCAAGTCGTTTTAAAATCTACACACATGGCACCATAATTTGCTAATTACATTTTTTCAAATACTTTTGTAATTTCAATGCTGTAGAAATATTGGGGCAGTATCATGTAAAGGAGATGCCCTTTTAAGTGTTAACAGATTAACAGGTTTTAGCATTTTTGTTCTCTTCCCAAGTAGCTTTTAGTTCCTTTACTCTTTACATACGTCACTATTCAGTTATTTCTTTGACCAGAGCAGTAACACCTCTTCCTTTGTTGACCATTCTTACATGTACGCAGATCTGGCACATCTTTAACCAAAAAAGCTCAAAGAGATGCTCTTTTTCCGCGGTTGTATCTGTATGGATTTTCATGTAAATGTAAACAAATTGTAAACGTGTAAACAAAAATCAACAGTTATGAAAGATGAATGCAATGTTTTATATAACGCTGCAATATGTGCACAAAGTGAATCAAGATCAAGTTGTTCATAGTAGATGTGCGCAGTATTTCAAAAGTAATTTCACATCCTAATCTCAAGTCCCTTGAATACGAGTCATACAGAATACACTTCAGCTTGTCACGAGAGAAGAACTTGCACCACAGTGTAAAGTGCACAAATACTTAGAACTGTAGTCATATGAAAAGAAATAAGAGTGTATCTAGGTTCAAGATTAGCTAAATAGAAAATATTTTTTTAGGTGTCATCAGATGTGCATTTTGTGTTTAGGGAAACGATCTGTTGTTTCAGAGTAGATTCACATGCAGGTGACTTAATCTTCTAGATATGTCTTTAGAGTGATGTAAACGTGACAAATAAACAATTTGCGTTCGGTACTTCCTAAAAACGTACTCTTCAACGTTGTGGGAAACATCCATCGGCAAAAAAAAACATTGACAATACACAGCTGTGTCCTGTGCTACATATACACTTCCTTTCCACAAATCAAATCAAATAAATCGGTTATATTAATACCTAAAGGGGAATATGCGCAAATGTACAACCATACAAACCCTGTACACTTCAAAAAAAACTAAATCTCATATCATTTCCATTCTGGCAATATGGAATCACTTTAAAGACATTCTTCTGAACCCACAACAGGTATGGCCAAAATTGCACAATGTTCTATGTATTTGCACATATTCTAAGCCTCGTATTAATATTCCTATTAATATTTTGTAACAACATTCATGGTGCTGACTGCCTTTGTGCTCCTTGTACACATTCACACACGTGGGGGCTCACATGGGCAAACACAAAGTAGATTCGCGCTAACTTGTGAGCGGTTCTGACATTATTTTGACAGTTTCTCTCTACCTACTGAAATTACAGTGAGTGTACCTACATTTGAACTAACTTTGTGTTTTTTAAGAGCACGCCTCACATAATGTATCGTCAGCACAAGGATGTGTTAGGAGGTCGATTTAAACTGCGCAAGCCGGTCATTAGGACACAGTGTTAACAGGCAACATGCAAAAACTATTTGTTTTCAGCTTCTTTTAACTGAATATGACACAATTAAGCAATGAAAACAACCTTGGTGTAACAGAAAAACTTGAAAAAGAAAACTGGAATTACTCTCATAGTGTTTTGAGTGTAAGCATTAGTGTTTCATCAGCAGCTTGATGGCAGAGCACTTCCTTCTTTGACATTTTCAGACCCACATGTCTTTTGACACATATATACACAGCAGACTGGCTAAAAGAAATGAGAACAAAATGGCCACTACAACACTTCCAATCTCTTCTTGTCCATCCAATCTGACCATAGTAGTAGAAGTCGACTCCATGGATGACACGGTAATGTCGCCTTGTCACCATTTCAGGTATTTTGATTCCTGTCAACCAATTTTGTTTCGGTTCTTCTCCAACATCTTTCATGGTCCTTATCCACAAGCATGAGATGGACGTCAAAGGAAGAAGAAGCAAAAGTAACGTGTTTTCCTTTAGAGGTAATGTTTCTGCCATCAATCGAGTAAGATGCACAGATCCAACCATAGGAGGAACGTGCACAGATACTGTACATATTGACTCTTCTCCTCAAGACCTATCTACATCTCTTAATTTAGCCTTTATAAAGCCTAGTTTCCCCTTTGTGCCTCTGCCAGCCGATAGTTCTTCCTCCTTTCTGCCACTCTGGTCAGTAGTTGGCCTCTGTGCAGGTGGAAGGCAGGAGGTTTTTTTTGGGGGGGGGTGGTGCTACTGGATTTGACAGGCTGTGGAGGGAGCAGCCTGGCAACACATGCAGGTGGGGTTGACTGCTTTGGGGGGGATCAGATCCAGATCCTCGTCATCCGGGATCTCATCGAGCCGGTACCCATCCTTCAGGAGCTGGATGTTCAAGTCCTGGTTGATCTGCTGAGGATGCAAAAAGAGCAGTATCAGCAGAGCTTCGGGACAATTTTGACAAATCCTTCAGCCGGGAGACACCTTGTTGGTTAAATTAGCCTTATGTTAATTCCAAAAATCTTAATATAGGTGTTCAAAACAATGGTGATCCGAATAAATTAAATATTACAGAAACAGAAGGCAGCAGTGTATAGTGCAGGCAGATCAGTGGTGGCAATGAGGGGAATCAAGAAGCACAACATAACAAAATATATTCTACTCTAAGAGGAAGAAATGAAACAGGAATTTGGATATGACTTATGGAGAGATAATTACAGATGATTGTGACTATGAGTCCTCCGAGAAGACAGTATACATTTTTTCCAATGGGTGCACAGATACCTGGTGTGACAATGGAACTGGGTGATCAGGTGTTGATGTTTGGGGGTTCACCATATGACGCAGTGAAACAGTATAATGCGTGTATAGATACCTGGTCCCTCAGACATCTCACCTCGGCTGAGGAGTATCCTGATGACGAGTATCTGGACATGTCGAAGTCATCGTCACTGAGAGACAGGAGACAGCAGAAGTTAGACACAAGACACAAACATATGACGGTCCAAACAATAGTAACATATGGTCACTTTTTTAACGAGCAGTTCGGAGCAGCACATGTTGAGATATCCTGACTTTTAGGCGAAGTATAGGTAAGCCAATAGAAGGTGGCTCCTTCATTACCCATAATGCAATTCTGTAAGCTCTTTTGTCTTTCAAACTATGTGGTCCCAGTCTGTACTGCAGACTTTCTGTTTCAAATAAGTAGAATGTATGTATTGGTTTTTTTTAAGGTTTGTTTTTTACAAAAGGATAATATACAAAAGAAACTTAAAATGCAGTTGAAAAACGCAACACAGACAGATCAGATATAAGTTATATAAATACATATTGAGAACATAACATTTGAATATTAGAAGACTTAAATAATTAAATTAAAAAAACTGGAGTATGAAGATATGAAGTCAGTCACTATATATATTTTTTTATTGTTAATAATTATCAGAGTGAATAATAAAATCTTTAGTGTAGAAAGATTTAGTAGCTTTTAAATTAGTGACTCCCTATCCATCCAAATGTATGGGATATTAGTAGGTGAGAAATTGTTTTCGGTATTCGGTTTCCAAAAAGGTAATTCAAGGTTATTGTATATTTATTTATTTTTAACTTAGTTTTCTTACA